TTTATCAACTAAAAATATATTTTTTAGCTACATGGCTCAAAATGTGCATTGGGGTTTTATATAGGCTATAAAAATACATTTTTTCTTTCAGAATTCGTTTTTTCATTCTCTTATAAAAATAATGTTACACATAAATCTAAATTTATTTTTTATTTTTTAACCACACACATTTTTCAAAAAATTACTATTCTAAAACATATTTTAGAAATAGGGACAGAATCAGAAATTTTATTCGTATATGACCAACTGCTCAAGAGAAGAATCAGAAATTTTATTCAATACAAAACAACTACATCCTCACCTTGTAATTTGTATATTAGAAATAGGGACAAAAATTTTCAGACTAGTTTAAGATAGTTTTTGAAAAGTTAGAAGGAGCTTTTAAGATTAAAAAGTTGATTCATAACCCGTTTGGTTAATTTATAGAAAGCTAGCTAACATGACTTCATTTTAAAAAAAATTCGAAAGAGGAACTCTTTTATAAATTAGTTTCCAAATATCAATTAAAGTAACGATATCAAGAAACTATTTTATAAGAAGTAGAAGCAAAATAAAAATTCCTACCAAACGAGCAAATGCAAAGAATCAGAAATAGATCAAATTAGTCGATTTTCGATTTCAGTTAAGTTCTGATTAAAAAATTGTTTAATCTTAAACTTTCGAATTCAGAATTACATGATTATATACCGATTACGAATTCTATCAATAAAATTTTCAATTAAATCATAATATAAATTTACAGGAATTATCTTGTATTCCATTTAATTAATCGTTTTGTCGCCTAAAAGAGATTCAGCCCCCGTTTGACACACATTCTTTCAACACTTATTTTCAACCACACATTTTTCAATAAAATAATATTTTTCATCACATCAATAACTTTTTCTTATTTTTTAACCACATATTTCTCATCATATCACTATTTAAAATACATTTTTTTATCAATAATATTTATCGAACACACCGTCGAATTTTCGGATTCACTTTGGCAATCGGTAATCCGCCGGTTCCAGAAGAACTGGACCGAACCACGGGTGACTTCCACTCCTCCTACAAATATAATGAAGAAATAGAAGTAAATAACATTTTCATTCTTGTCTAACTCCACAATGACCTTTGACAAAGAAATAAAATTAAAAAATAAAAATAAAAAATAGTGAAAATATAACTTTAGTTGGATAAAGTCCAAAATACCCTAACTTTATCAAAGGCTCTCACTCAAGGATCTGGGCCGGCTGTCACTTGGGCCACAGCTGGCCCAAATCACTAAATTTCTAGATATATTTTTATTTTTTAATAATTTAATATAATAAATGGTATAATAAATTAATATTTATATAATTAAATATTTTACTTAATTTAATAAAAGTAATATAATTAAATATTTTACCCATTTCATTAAAATTAATATAATTACATAAATGATTTATTTAATTCAATAATTAAATATTTTACTTAATTTAAGAAATCGAATATGAAATAAATATTTATAGAATCAAATATTTGACGTAATCGAAAAAAATTATATAATTAAATAATTAATTTTAATTTGATAACTACTAATATCATTAAATAAATCATTTTAATTATT